GAGAAGTGAGACTTAAATCCTATACATCAATTAATTAAAATGCCCTTCTAAAATGACCACTGGGACACCAGGACTTCCCAGCCTTCTTCATTCCTCTACGGTAAAAGAACTCATTAAATACTTTGGAGAAAGAATTAATTATCCATCATCCTTCTGTGAACGAACATTGTAACGCTGTTACGCTAGTCAAGCTTGTGAAGCTTCTGCAAAATTTAACGGTAAAATGACATTATTGTTCCTTAATTTTTATTTTCCATGCATATTGATCCTTAAAGTTTAAATTTATTCAATTTGGTCCTAGATTTTAATTTTAATTATTACAATTTGGTCCCAAACTTTTGAAAGAGTTGTAATTGAGTCTCAAAATTTCTAATTTCATGCATATCATTCTTTTTTTAGCACAAAAAATAAAAATTATGTAGCTTATAATTAAATCACATTCAATTTATTAAAATATCAATAAAATCAAGGCTACAATAATAAATAAAAATATATAAAAAATCATATTATCAAGATGCAAAATCAAATTTTTGATATGTACTTTTCCTTCAAAAAAAAGTCTTTAAAAGCCAATTAGGAATCTATGAGAAGTGGTACAACCCGAAATGATGAAGTTGTAAAGATATGAATATGGGTTGAGTGTGGGGGAGTGTAGTTGTGCAAACACCATGAACTTATGATAACTTTAGGTTCTGTTTATATGATTATGAGTATATAATGAGGAAAAGAAGGCAAATATCTCATTTTTACTCTTTTTTTGTTATATTGGTTTTTTTTATATGAGTTATATAGATGTAAAGAGCTAAATGTTGTTCTTTATTTTTAAGGATGCTAAATTAAGATTAAAGACTTAATTTCTTACTTTAATTAAATGAATTTTATATATTTTAATTTACTATTTTAACCTTAATTTTATTAATGTTTAGATGAATTAAATGTAATTTTATTGAATCTTATATTATTTTTATTGTGTGCGTAAAAAATTATCGGAATACCCACTTTGCATGTCCTAACTCTAGAGTGCCAGAGCCCAATATTTTCAAGGCCTGATACCCAATTTACAAAATCTCTAAGAATTTTTATCAGGAATTTGAACCTACTACAATTTGTTTACCTGGATTTTACCCCAATTGCAAGTATGTTAACTTTAACTTTAAACTTAAATAAGGTTAATACTTTAGTTCAATGACTATTCTTTGTTAACATATCAAAGTTTTGAGAACCTTTATATTTTTCCTAGAATTTTTTTTT